CAACAGCGTCCTGTGGGCAGCGTCCTGTGACCACTGATGAAGGATTAGAGGATGACCAACACAAACTGTGCAGCAGCAGATGAGCTATCGTCTCTGACTTTACATCTACAAGGTGGTCCGACAAGGTAGGAGTGTCTAATAGAGTGGACAGTGAGTGGACACAGTGTTTAAAAACTCCAGCAGCACTGCTGTGTCTGATCCACTCAGACCAGCACAACACACACTAACACACCACCACCACGTCAGTGTTACTGCAGTGCTGAGAATGACCCACCACCCAAATAGTGCGTGCTCTGTGAGGGTCCATGGGGGTCCTGACCACTGAAGAACAGGGTAAAAGGGGGCTAACAAAGTATCAGAGAAACAGATGGACTACAGTCTGTAACTGTAGAACTACAAAGTGCACCTATACAGTAAGTGGAGCTGATAAAATGGACAATGAGCGGCGAAACAAGGAGGTGGTCATTGTAGATATCAGGTTGTAGACATTAATTTAATTATTTAACATATCCATATTTTAAATCCATTTTTCTATTCAGAACTACATACAACTCATGGCTGCTTCTTCCAAATATCACATTTATTGGAAAGTAATGGAACTCATTCGTGTTTGGAAACATAGCATAAAAGCTAAGACATGTGTGGCTGATCCACTGGCATTCCTGGCTATTCACTGTTCCCAGTATTTGGAAACTGTAAAGGCCACTGATATGTTTGGTATAAACAAGTTTAAAAATTAATATTTTTAACACTAAATTAAAATGTTTTTGCCAATAAACACAAAACACTGACAGTGCAGTGACTCAGAGAGATTCAGAGTGGTTTGGTGTGAAATGGTTCAGATGTCTTCACAGTGGTGGTGATAGGAACCAGGGGTCGCCATGACTACAACACAAATATAGACATTTTATTTACTATCCAGAACCACCAGTGAACCTACACGAGTCTTCTGAGTTTATATGGAATGTTGATGATGAAAATAGTGGAAAATCTGAAATAATACGTTTTCTTTGGGGACTATTTTGCCTCACAGCGCCCTGCATAACATCTGATATCACCACCACTGTGAACAGTTCTGACTCAGTGTGTTTATCTAGAACAGAGCGTTTGACACCTCTGAATAACTCAGTTTACATCTTAAACATTTAATTATGTGGGAATTTGATATAACAGTGGTTTAATTATTAGTACTATGTTTGAAATGCTGACCTTTGCATTCTTCTATACTTTCTTGATGTTTTTCAAAGCATTTTGGGGGTGGTGGGTGTAGGAACTGTTTCTGTTGATCTGGAAATGACTTCTATTGATCTCATCTCAAAGCCTGAATTTTGTCTGTGCTTTTGTTCATATTGAGAGATGATTTAACAGCGACGTCAGTCCTTCAGCACCAGGCAGACAGCTGTGGCCGACACTCAGAACATGTGAGTGACAGCAGACGTCCTCTGGAGTCACACGTCCTTCGTGTTGTGCCCTGTTTTTGTCAGAAGTGCAGCAGTGAGACGTGCAGACTGGAACCTGTCCATACAGACTGTGAACGTAATTCACTGTGTAACTATGCAGTTAGATGTAAGCAGTAAAACAGACTGACAGTAATCACAGTTGAAGGCGTGAGGATCTGATTCAGAACACAATGGCTCTTACGGGGTCTAATTAGGCTGTTACACCGCCGCTGCTCAGCATGACCGTATATGGGCGCTGTGTGTGTGTGTTTCCGGTGTAACCTCATGTTTTGCACTTCCTGTGTTGTGGACGAGTGTGTAATTACAGAATACGCTCACTTTCCAAATACCGACCGCTTTTCTGGACTCTGTGTTCAGAGCTGCTGACACACAGCCAAGCTCGGCCCAGTCCGGCCCGGAGAAATCCTGGAAGAGTTCTGTTTTTACGGCTTTAATTACAGCCAGCCTAACCCTATAACTCTACAATTACACTGAGCAACCACACTGCGGCTTACGCACACACCACATACACAGAGATACACACACACACACACACACACACACACACACACACACATACACAGAGATACACACACACACACACACACACACACACACACACACAGATACACACACACACTCTCATATACAAACACACACACATGCAAGTTTGTTTTTGTCTGGATGTAGGGTCCTTTACACATTACATATATGTATGTTTATGTAATAAATATATGTCCCATGTGTATCATATACAAGCATTTATATCTATAATAATATGCCACAAATATAAATATACTATGTATGTGTAATAGTAATGTGTCTCATATATATTATATATGTAGTATTTATGTATATATATGTAGTACTTATGTAACTATTTATATGCAATAATAATATGTGTTATATATATACATATGTATCTATATGTAATAATATGCCCCGTAAGTATTATACAGTTTAAAAAGAAAGGTTTAACCCTTTAAATGCCCAGTTCCCACCTGCAGGCCCAACGTTCTACTACACACTTGAACCCCCTCGGAGCAGCTCTCCTAATGTGCACTGTAGTCCATGTAGCTCTAAGGGGTTAAACATCAGTGATAGAATTCCATGTTTTGTTGTTTTTCTAAGTGTAAAGTGCAGTTAAGGCAACCTCTACAGTGAACACACTTAAACATGGCATTACAGCTCATTTTACTCAATTTCTGTTTACTGGCTGAGCTTCATATACTGCAGAATATGACATGTGCCTTTAGAAAAATCTATTCACCTGTCTTGCATAAAATGGTCCGTGATTTATTTTTTGGGACCTGATATTAAATTCAAAAATATTTAAATAAAAATAAATAAATAAATAAATAAATAAATAAAAGATAGTTGCTTCTAGACAACAAACATTTCTGCAAATTCTCATAACAAAAAAAATTGATACTGAATGTTAAAAATGAGCTTTAAATGTGCCCACAGAGAGATCGTATATATATAAAGTACATGCTTTTTTCACTTTCTCAAACTCCTCCCTTAGTCGTTAACGCTCTCGTTGTCTTTATATATGTATAATGTTAGTGTAAAACGAGGAAAATGAGTTTGTTGCCCTGAGGCAACATCGTCCAATAGAGGGCTAACTCTTGAACAAGGCATGTTTTATGTTTCATTTTTTTCCCCAGTATATAAAAATTAAATTGTGCTTTATAATTTTGCTATTCTAATGTGCAGAAGTGTGTTTTCAGTAGAGGAAGGGTTAAATTTTATTTTCAAAATCCACAAAACATGGGACGAACCAAGGGGCGCTCAAACGTTTGCATATGACATATAAGAGTTTTAAACAGTGTTTGTGGCTGCGCAGTACGGCACACACACATTCATTCACTCACTTAGGTTTTATGATTAGGATTAATAACAGAATAATAAGGTTTAATGATAAACCATCATGATCACACTTACATTTAACAGCACAATACTACATTTTCTCAAATTTAATGTAATGTTAGTCTCAC